CCATGATCAAAATCCCTCACTGCTAAAGTATTCATAGACTTCGATCTTGAAGTTAGACTCGTACATTCTGTACCATCAGCTATGGTAAATGGCGACGCGCATCTGCACAATTGTCGGTTCTGCCGGCGGCGCTGACGGCGTTCTGTCATTACTTTGAGAATACTTCGTGACGAGATCGGTGTAATTTTAAGGAAAACAGGGGCGTAGATCTAGAGTTGTCGCCATTGATGGCATTGATGTTTACCTCACTACTTGACGACACCGTTTATGCTCATGGCAGAGTGAAGATTTTAACTGTTGAACCCCTCTATCTAAGCGCCTGCTGATTCATTCCTTTGATGTTTCAAACTTCATACGTTTGTTCTTGCCCACCCAGATCCAGAAGACGTCATGATTATGAAATATGGGTTTTGCGTGTGTAATCAGCGATTATCCTAACGTTTGTGAAGAAATGCCTTTTCCCAAACCATCATGTCGTACTACGTTAACATCAACTTGTTTGTGAAACCTCCGGATTCACTTACTGAGTTCCACCACACCCACCCAAGCTCGCGAAACTACTTAAACCCGCCGAGTCAAAGTTTTACCGCCGCCTTTTCAGCCTTTCCATCTTGCGGTGTCTCCGGGGAGGAAAGAAATGTAATCACAAAAATCCCAAAATGGGTCAAACGGATTACTCTCTCAATTTAGGCTGAAATAGATTTACCTATCATAATTATAATCCATTAGTGAGTTGCAAAGGCGCCTCGGGCCCCGATGATCCAGCATGTAGCTTGTTCATGATGATTGATCACAATTATCTGACTTCAACAGAAATTGCGACGAGACGACGAGAATAATGACAATACTTCTGGGGGAGGGGTACATTTCTGACGTCCATTATGCTGGAGTGAAGTTATTGGCCACGGGCACTCATTTCAGGTACCTCCTGGGTACGGGACGATGTGTGGGGAAATTGGATGGTACTGACCTATCAAAAGACTATTATTGACGTCTTGTAAATCAGACATGCAAGGCGTCATCAGTCGGGGCCAAGCAGAGCAACGTCTCCAGGAGTGAAGTTAGAAGGAAATTAGGGGTTTAGAGATGTAGATCACATGAATATCGAAGTTTGGAACAGAGAGAGGGGGGAGGGAGAGAGGGAGAGACAGAGAGAGGGGGAGAGACGGAGAGAGAGGGAGGAGACAGAGAGAGGGGAGAGACAGAAAGAGAGAGAAAAGAGGATGGGAGATAACGCGATATCACCAATTAAGCGTTTATCTTATCATGGTACATGGAGCTCAGCCCATGTCACTGATTTTTCCGAGGAAACATAACAAGATCCTGACAAACTTAGTTATCATTGATAGCTAGGTACGTCATAGTCAATCATAGCCTCACAGTAATGATATTCCTTCCATATGACATATTGGGGCCACTTCTCCCGAGAACTCGGACAATAACGTAAACCATTCATCATACCAGCTGCATTTCAATGACTTTTCATTTGCATTATTCTCGGCAAGCTTAAGTACGTTCGGGTTGGGAAATTTCATCGCTGTCCCACACGTCGGGGACACTGATAGAAAGTTAGGTCAAAGGTCCCAGAAAAGGTTCTCATTCTCATTTCCTGTCTCCAATTTTCTACCACATGAATGACTGTTGCCTTGTGGCAGCCAGTGTGCAAAATGCATAGACAACATCTGCGGCGAGAAATTCATAATAACGAATAAAACAAGAAATCCACAACAACTCTATATTTCACCGAGGTACGAGATCTTCGATTTAGTGTTTTGCGATATAAGCAGGCACGACCTTCTCAGGAATGACTTAACTACTGTAACAATGATTCATAACTGAGATACAGGGCGCTGTAATTTGGTACCCACGCTGATCTAATTTATCAGGTAAAGAGTCGTTTTGATTTAGGACATCGACACGCATTAATCAAATGAAAGTTAAACGCTGCTGCATTATGTGATATTGCCATCATAAAACTGACGTATAAAACTACATCGCTGGCAGAAAGACATTTATGGTACCCTTAAGGGTTCTTTGATGTGCAGCAAAACAATTTAGATCCCAAACAAAGATGCTTTCAATGCAAATGTAATACACCCACCTGCAATGTCTGCATTGAATGATTTGTAGTTTATCAAATAGACTCCAATAAGTTGTCTGCGTTCAATTGCATCTAAATGCAAGTCATATTCTCACGTATCCCTTAGTTGTATGCACATGATTAGATAAGTTACTTTGAGCTGACAAAGGCATAATGGTTTTCTGCCTTTTTATCCACACTGTGTGATCTGTTTTACCTTGCCGTTAGATACCCGGTTCTAGACCCCCTGTTCGCTATACCCCACTGACAGTACAGGTTCTGGCAGGAAGCCAATGTCAGGGGCGAGATCGGTGCCGCGAATATTGAGAGGAACGCGTCTCGTTTGGCTTCAACACGATTTCCCCGCACAGTGGCTCCAACAAACTGACTCAACGATCGCTTTTAAACAAGGCTGTAGTTTGAGATAATTGATTTAGTTCTGCGGCCTTTGTCACCTTTCTTTTTCACTTGCAAGTGGCATGCTTGGTGGCATTGTGCCATTGTTTTATTCCTTGTGTGAGTCCCAATGGTATACAGGCATCGTAGCAGGTTGAGCAAAAGAAATGACAGGATCAATTTACCAGCATTAGCAGCGTGATATCAGAAAAATATACATTGAAGTTAGAGATACAGTATCAAAACGAGATATCAAAACCGTTGCGTTATCTGCTGCAGTGACAAGAATAGCCGACGAGCTGTCCAAAATCATTCCTTCGATAGGTCAAAATGACAATCCATCCATTGCTTCTTGAGTCATCGTGCTAATAAACACATCCCAAACATACAACTCTACCGAAACATAACACTATGAAAGCGCGGCAACGTGACCATAACTGTTATGTAGTTAGCCTCGTGCGAAATACGTACTTAGAATAACAACAGCAAAGACCCCACCAGACCAGGTGAAGGATGAAATGAATACCGGTACCATTGATCTCCGTGTCCTGGGCGAGGTTGTGGTAACGATTCTGGCTACTTCGTGAGGAGTGATCTGAGGTCAGGTCAAGGGATAAGCCATAAAAATCCTCCGGCCGTTCCCTGTGCTCCTGTAATCAGGGAGACTCCAAAACTGATGCAGGAGGTCATGAAAACAAGATTGGCTAAGACTTGTGAAAACAAAATGCCTGAGTATCAAAAATGAAAAAAAAAACGAAACGTTAACGTTTTCTTTATTTAAACAATGATTTAAAAGAATGTAGTACTTTTTTTTCTTTCATCATTCTAATTCCAGCAATTACATTTTCTGGAGCATATATCAATCTCTAGATCTGTATCGGGCCGCTTGTTGAAAGCAGTCTTCCCAGGCGGCCGGCCCCATGCAACTCTTCCCGATACACAGCTCTTCCCCGAAAAGACCGCCGCGCTCTATAGGGCTGTTCTCGTAGAAGCAAAGACTGGTCGCTAGAAAGTCTGCGCTGGAGGCCATGTTAGCCCGAAACTTCAACATCTGGGAACTTATTTCCCCCATGCCCAGATTACCTTAGAGCTGGAGTCAGCAATTTTGCGGACCTGCAGTCCGTGCCAGATTTTTACTGGTTTGATAGATGTTCCACTTAAAGTGTTGCTAACGTTGCTGGGGGCTGTGATGCAGACGGAAGAGGTGACATGGTCTACATGTGGCCGTCTGGGTAGAAGGTACGGAGGTATTTAGTGTTGACACATGTGACTTCAAGCTAGTTGTGCAACATGTGTAACAGAAAATGTAACAAAATTGCTGGAAGGGACTATATGTTGTACCATGTGCACACTGCCAATATGTCATCGCAAGTGGGTAGGTTTCCCAGCGCGTGCACTCTTGAGAAGTTAGGCATTTACAGCAGGGGAAATAATCCTTCTTTTCAAATCAAGTGCAAAGCACAATATTGATATGAATCCTTATTCAGCATGGCAACAGTAATAAGTGAGCACACTGCGTGCTGCCATAATCCCACGATTCATGAACGAAAAACGAAGATCCTGACAGAACAACACGCCTTTTTATCACTAGATTGGTGGTTCCTACAGAGACTCATAAAAGATAAATGTCAGACCCGTATCATGCTGAAACCAAGCCAAAGAACCAACACTGGCGATGAATCAGCATTGAAAGGATTACATTTCCCATTTCAGTTTGGTGGTCATAGTCTTGGCCGTCCGCCAACATACGACGACTTTGTCTGCCAACTTATAATGGGTTTCTTCAACAACACCAATGGACAGGTTAATTGAGAAAATCTTGGATGTTAACACATTCTAACCCTGCTCACATCCGTTACAACTTACATCCCGATTTTATTATTCTGTTGGGATAAATGCGACCGGACACAAATGTAGGTCGAGTCGCGGGCATTAGCCATCATGGCGCGCGGGTCCAGCCAGGGAGGAATACTAAACCGTTCATGTCATATACGTCACCGGGCGCAGGGTCACGTCTGAGGTGATCACAGGTTGACCTCCTGGTCAGGTGAGACCGATTGGCAGGCCGGTTCGTGCCGGACTCGTCATCTAGGTACGGTTACTGTCAGACCCAGGGGGGGGGGAGTATGCTGATTGCAAGGACGGTGGTCTTGCTGAGGGCGGTAGACGAGAAGAGGCATTCAAGAGTTGGATTCGGGATCCAATATGAGTTTATTGGTACCGAGGAGGAGGAAGGGAACTTTTCATTCCTCGCCATGACGACAAAAGTGAAAGAGCCAGGCAAAAATGACTTCTTCGCTATGAAATCCTGACATGTAAGATCACTCTACACACAGAGAACTTGCCAGTCTCCTGATTTCTATGCCCCGCTCGAAAGAACCTCGCTCATCAGAACCATTGCCTGTACATTATTTAAGGACATCAGCAGTAGTGAATAGTTTAAAGCAATGAAAGATGACATTTGGCGGAGACTTACCCTACCGGTGATAATCCTGTATTCAGGAAACTGAGTGTTTTCCAAGGACACTGCCTGTCCTACTTAAGTTCGGCATACCCAACCATGCGGACCTTGGACAATCAATGAGCTGGACATGTATGTAAGGGGACATCAAACGTCGATCAATATCAGTCCGAAAGCTATTCAAGTGACGGCACCGGAAATTGCATGCCGTTGGTATCTCCAAACGACCGAGAAATATCATAAGTTGAAAAAAAAAAAAAGATAGAAAGTACTCATCAAGTCATTTTATGCAACGTAGGATGAGGTGCAATCAGATGTGATTATGATAACTCCGGTGATGAGGGAGCGATCAAAGTTGTAAATATAGGGAACCACGACGTGTAATAAGTAAACTCGGCAGGACACGGCACTGCATTTAATACTCACTACTACAGTCTACGTGCTCAGAATGCACAGCACAGTCACCACGGACACTTGTTACTACCATTTATAAAATGTCACATCATCCGTTTGACACTGTGACAGTACTGTCGTGTACCTGCACCCCCCGTCACGCTGATGAATAGTGTGTGCTGCTTGACAGTCACGACGTGTATGTGACTTGTCAAGGTTCTAAGCGACAGACTTGCTATAATCGACCTGCCACGTTCCTGTCACCACGTTCAGACATGATGGATTGATTTCATGTCGGATGGTTGAACACCTGTCCTTAGATGAACTTTTCATACTGACATTTATGACTCCAGAAATGTAGTTAAGCATCCAAATTACAATCTTGCCAAACTTGGTTGCGTTGGTTTGGTGATTGGTTGTACCACTAAGCAGCGAGGGCTTATTGAAAATCCTTGTGGACTGAGAAGCATTTCTTTCTGATGTGGTATCTGCTGCTCAGTGACAGTGAATAAATGGGCTGTCGTTTCGGATTTGTAGCTTCTTGTAGCTGAACATCTTTCAGTCCCCCCAACAGATGTTTTTGAACGGGTAGAGTTTGGATTAAGCACACTAAGAATCATCAAGCTAAGGCTGCACATCCTTGTCCAGGACTCTCACGGCGAAGTCGTTCTCCAGCTTGAAGAAGTCCCTCCCGGCTGAGTCTATCACAGACGGACACTCCAGGACTGCGGTGTTGGGCAGCTGTGGGGCACACGCACAACGGAATTGGTTACATTTCATGCTATAAATAAATTCAAGTTCATTCTAGAAGGCAATAACCCTTACTGTGTACAAATAGGTAAATATATTAAAGAAGGCTTAGACCTTAGAACAAGTAGTATAAGTTGATTCATATCTATTGTCTTGTACGTAGGTTAATTTCGTTGTACCCACGTATCTGTCTGTATGTCTACATGTAGTTTAAGACCTTACGAAAGCCGCTGTACTTTTGTTGTGTCGATAGAGTTCTGTTCTGTTCTGTTCATCAGGACAGAGGCAAATGTATCAACAACCTTCTCTGCGGCTGAGTCACAGACTTACAGCTAACATACATGAAACCCGTGACATCCATCAAGTGCTTTCATCCTCACTTCTCCCATTCTGTTAGATAATGTATTCCCCAGCCATACCTTCTCCAGCGTGGTTTGCTCCGGATCCGGGATGTACTGTTCACACACGGGCAAGTTGTCGGCACGGTTGTAGGCAATCAAGAACGCCCATCTGGGAGTGAAAAAAATCTACATATTACACAATGTATCGACGACCTGAAGCATTGCCTGAAGTTTTCTCATTACTCATTACTCATTGTCACATCGAACGCAAAGTTGGTGCTGCGTCATGGCATACTGAACACCGATACCGCCTCATCAAATCTGCCCGTATACATCGATCCTATGGCTGGAGACCTGGCACGGACAGGTTTTCGACACTTGTTTAAATCAAGTTCGTGGTTTTTGACCTGGATAAGGTCCGTGAATTCTAAGCACGTGTATAATAGAGAACCGATCCGGATCGGTCTATATGTCATCCCTGTAACAACGTAACGTCTATTATTAATTTGGTTGGAATTTTGCCATCTAATGTTGTATGGTATCGATAGTATTACCGTGGATTGTGAGCACAAATTGCTCTCCAGGCAGAGGTTGTGGGGGAATGATCGTTAGCTTTTTATATATGGCCCTTTTTTGTCGCTACCCCCACCATGGACTCTCTCTGGCCAATTAGATACTGCCTGGCCAATTTGATACTCTATTTTTGAGACCCTAGGATCTACTTGGAGATTAAGCACAAATAACAAATTGAAATTTCAGTCAAGTAGTATCTTTAGAGACCACGTAGTCGGTCATGTTTAATACCTGCGGCGGTCACTGCGGTTCTGATCACTCCTGTGCAGCAGATTGCAGTGAAAGAAGATGGCGTCTCCGGGCTCAAGTTCGGCGTACCTCAGGCCAAGTGCCTTCTCCAGCTAAATTGTAATGTTTTCCGACACCGTTAAGTTTGAGGTGAAATACAGCAGGAATCGTTATTGTACGTTATGGTGTGAAATTTCTAGCTTTAAAGTTTTAAACCTACAACAAGCAATAGAAACATGTCTGTCTTCAATGTATTGATTTAATGTCCACTATAAATGTGTTGTGCCGTTACCCTAGATGGATTATCTTGCCAAGGTTACCTAGGCCACGCAATGTACATCGGCGCCAGCCTGGATAAATTCTCTGATGAGTCAAATATTTCAGACAGCATCCGCTATCTTTCATTATTGGTTTACTGTTGCGAACCTGTATTTTGCCGTTAGGTCCCAAGGTTACCTGGTCCACGCGCTCCACGTCGGCGCCAGCCTGGTCTCCTACACGGACATGGTCGATACGGCCGGCTCTGTGAGACCCCGGCAGGATCTGGGGTAACATCACGAGAGAATTTCCTTAGAAGTTTGTCAGAACATGTGCTGTGCAGTCAGGTTAGTATTGGGGGGTGGGTGGGTGTCATTTTACCTGCGAGGCGTGCAAGTGTACTTACGGAAAGCACCCAAGATTGGACGTCTGGACCTCTTTGCAAGTGTATTTGTATACAACAGTCGCAAAATAACAGGTGTTTGAAAACTTTAATATCTTCCCCGTTTGAACAAAAAGATAAACAGACTTTGTGGTGTTCTTGTCTAACCTCAACGCCTATTCAGTCCGCAACTACACAGCTAGACATCTTAATCAAACCGTATAATTCTGTTGTGTGTGATATTTCCTGTTTACCTTCAAACATCCATTTTGCCTGTCCGCCTTGTCCACAGCGATCAGCACCGTGCCCATGTCAGGGAACATGAACCCGTTCACGTACCAGTAGCTATAATATGGTTTGGATCATAAAAAAACACAACATGTACATCATTTTAGCAACGTTGCATGTTGAGAGGCGATGTTATCCTATGGCTGATATCTAAAGCCACGCTAGTATTGACTTTTAAACTTGAAATGTCATTTATTGATTTTGAAATTGCCCCTCTAGCTGAAGACGAGATGTGTAACGTCCCTGAATGACTTTCTGTCAGTAAGAGGGAGTAAGGCTTTCAGCTAGTCGGGTCTCCACAGTGCAGGTGTCAGGTCTGATCGCATCACTCACCCGTAGTCCTGGTGCCAGATGTGCGCCCCGCCGGTACGAGCCTCCTTCATCACTACTTTGGAGTGATAGTGATATACTTTTCCACCTAGAAGCTAATAAAAGTGCATGAAAGGTACCTTCATTAAATGATTCTTAATTACACAGTGTTGCGCCAAAAATAAAGATGAAGTCACTCGAAGGCGGGTGCTTGCTAATTAATGGGTCTGATACCTGCTCCATCGTTCCCGCCACTTTTTCTACCCTGGTCACGACGCCGGTGATGTCGTTCCCAAGCTTGTGCCACAGGGCAAGTTTGGTGCGGCCCCCCTCCCCATCGTCCCGTCCGTAGTGATACGTCTGTAGTCCCTCGTCTGCCTCCAGCAGACACCTTAGTTTCTGAATCTCATCACCATTCAGCACTGACCTGCCATAGGAAACAAGGTGACCAGTGATGGTAAACAAAATCCTGTTGCCAAACTTGATATTAGTACAATTCGTGTGATGGAAGAAAGTAAATTTTTCTCGCCGATTTCCAAAAGAAAGGAAATTTCCTCCCCGATTTCGAAACCGCATGCTGTGATATATAGATGCCTTCAGGTCACCATGTAAGCGTTGATATTACATGGTGATGATACATGTACATCGTGTACCGAAAGGTATGCCGAGACCTCAATTTTACACTACGAAGCACACTTGAGTTGAGATCCGCCGGGAGGTGAGACGAGATGATGTTTTTATTGCCCCGGAGTCGTGGCCGACTGGGCATCACCATGTTGCGATTGCAGTAGATAAGCCGCAAGCCGCGAGCGACAGACAGACGGATATGGTGACTCCTCCATAGAGCCAGAGCGCCTCACAGAATGCTGTTCCATAGGTTACCATAGCATAGGCGAACATGTACATAGAAAGACCACAGTGTACCTTGCATGTGTGGCCGTGATTGTGAGGACTTTACCTGAGTATGATGTACCCGTTCTTATCGAAGTCTGCCTTCACGGAATCCGTTACTCTGAAGTCGTCTGAAAACCTGTAGTCTGAGCCAGAGAGAAATGTAAACAAAATACTGATTTGAAAATTATGTGTATGTGTGTATAAATTTTTCTATTGGCAGGGAGGGGGCGAGTATTATCAAGTGTTTTCGTACATGTAGCTTAGAAAAACACCATGATTATAGTAATATCATCTAGGTTTTAGGACCTCGAAGACTTACCATCATTATCAAGGACGTTCGTGAAGAGCTTTATCAAGCAGGCGGGAACTTTATGCAAGTCCGTGCGCACGAGTAAGCCATTTCCATGCACTTAGCGCAATATAAGGCTTAATCAACCTCAGCGTACGTTTTGCCAGATGATTTTCAATCTACGCATTACTGTCAAACTGTTAAAGTGACACTGGCAGCGTAGAATGTATGATTGGTGATCGTACCTACCCGCCATCTTAGCAGCGCTAGTATACTACCTATGGACTGTTCTTTGATCCCTGGGGCAGAGTGTCAACATCGATCATGATGGACTCTGTGGTTCTAAACACGCGGCACAAAATACAGCAGCTGTTTACACAGGGTTGGTTTGTTTAACTTCTGACATCACTGCGCGGACACCGAGGAGAACAGAACTCACATGACAAACTCGAAATTCCAAATATACCGATTTTATTTGCTGACACACAAAGCCAAAAATACACATACGACATCCGCAATATCTAATTCTAATCATATGATTTCCTGTCATATGGCACAGTCTGTCCAGTCACCATGGTAACTGGTCAACAGCTTGATTGGTTCTGGCACATCGCATGACCATATATGGCTATATAGGTACTAGTATGTGACGTTAGAAATACATGTAGATTGGTCCACATTCACACGGTACGCCATGGCTGTCTGTTTCACGAAGAAAATACAATTAATGAGCAGATCAAAACCTTAATCATGTAAGTTATCCAAATTCTCAATTTACACTCGACAATACTCATTTATCATCTGATACAACATATCAACTTAACCATTCATGTGTATTCTATCATTGAGGTTGTCCAAGAGTAATTGTTTTGGAGCCCAAAGGCTTCTTCCTCCTCCAGCACATTCATTCTGTTTAGGTTAATTATTCTATATTCTGTTTCGTCCGATTATTATATTTTCTTTCTGTATTGTTTTGTATTTTTACGCATGTGCAAATAAAATAAACAAATAAATAAATGCTGACCAATACAGCTCATTTTAATCATTAATCAGAATGTGGTATTATTTGGCCATTTGTGAACGTCGTTTATATGTAAGGACATCGTTGGAAAATTATAACGCACAAGATAATTCTCTCATCTCCTCACTACATGTACATATGTAAGGACATCGTTGGAAAATTATAACGCACAAGATAATTCTCTCATCTCCTCACTACATGTACATATGTAAGGACATCGTTGGAAAAGTATAACGCACAAGATAAGACACACATAGTTGCTTGGAGTTACATATACAACTTAGTAGGTAGAATTCATCATAGATTGTATGTAGGCATGATAAGCAACGTGCAGTTTGCTTGTGGGGCTTTCGAAATCGAGTTTTTTATCAACTCACTTTTACCATCTTCTGTAAAAAATGGCTGAGAAATACACAATATCATTAGAATCACCTGCGCTTGCGGGGGGTTTGAGATTCAGTTACATGTTAAACTAATGTACTATTATGGTAGCTTGCTGTATAACCCCCATTGAAAGTACATGTAACTATACCACACCCTTTTTCAAACACATTTGATTTGGCCCCAGAGACAGCTTAAAACAAACAGACATCGTTTCTATAACAAAATTTAACGTGGCATTTCCCGAAAAACATGAAATTAGATACGTGGCTTTCTGCGCTTGGATTGTCACAGTACAACAGTAATGATGAATTTCTGGAAACAGAATTCCTAACGTTACAGCATGTGTAGGTTTAGAAGTGCCTCAAGTGGAGAATCTCACAACTATCACAGCCCATCATTATCGCACATTACCATGACATGACATAAACATGCTTCACTACCCAGACACGTGGGTCGCATGGCCTTGCCTTCATCAGACCACAGACACGTGCGCGACAAACATTACTACAATTGTGATTGGCACCAAAT